TCTAAGCTACGCATGTGCATAGCACGCGCATGGAAAGGAGAGTCTGTAATAAGAAAGTCATACGATGGCCTAAGTTTGCGCCGGACCGGCGTACCAACGCTGCCACGGCTTTCGCGGACGGAGGTGACTTTAAACGCGGAGCAATAAATTAACGGCGTTGGGTTACGCAAGGATCAAATGTCCCCTGGAGTATGCCCGGGAGATTTATGGGTCTGCCTTCACTGGCGCAGCATGAAGGAACGAAACAGAACAGAACGTACACAACCGTGCGGCTTATTATAGGCTAGTTGCTCCGCATCCTCCGCTTCCCCTTCTGTCCGACTAGTCTTTCAGCCCCGCCGCAGGATACACGCAGGACTTTTCAGATTAACAGCTAGCCGGATGTTGTAACCCGCTAATAAGGTGCGGCCACCACTCGCTGCCCAATTAAGCTAAGCTTTACGTGGGCACCATAAAGGCCAGGCCTTGAAACGCTCTTCGATTAGATATCCTAGATGTACCATTAATTTTATCATTCGCTCGCGGTATCAGCCTTGGATTAAATTTACACTTGACGGACATTCATATTAATTACTCGAGGTTCTTTGGATCGTGACTAAATATTTTCTTGAATAAACATCCATGTTAACAAGGTTAACGTTTAAAAGTTCTCGTTTGTTACGGCAGTTTTTAAAAACAATTGCAAATTTTTATTTGCAAGTATTATGAATTTGAATGTATTTCTTAAAGAATATTGTTTGAAATAATAATTTCTTTATAAAATAAAGAAAAGGATAAAAGTGTTAATAAAAAATGATAGAGACCTATACTAATTTTCCAATATATTTTACAGAGAATTTATTCTTCTTTTTTACTAACAATTTTTCTAAATTTATTATGAAAATCTTAAAACGTTAATGTTTTATTTTTAAATACAATTATTTATTTCATAAAACTATAATTTCAATGTAAAATTAAGTTATTTATATGTTTTATATAATTTAACTAAAGTTGATTCAATTTTAGAAAAGTCAGCGAAAAGTTAGCGAAGAAGAAAAATGTCAAGTTTTCTAACGTTCATACAGAAAATTTAGAAATTCTCAAGAGGAGACCAGAGTATTCGATAGACGGTTTTTCCATCTCGCTTTCGCTTTCCTTTTTTTTGTTTTCCGGGCAGACGAGCAGACAGGCGGACAAGAAGACGAAGTCTGAAAGAGCCCCGAGGTGGAAGGTCGAGATAATGAGCAGCGAGAATTGCTCGCCGCGACATATGCATCTTTACGGATATCACAAAGAGCATTAAAATTTACTTTTTCTTGCACTTGCTTCTAGAGATACGAACAATATGGCTGTCCCTCAAGATTGGATTGTGACAAATAGAGGCTTTTACTTTATGCAAAAGTCTGAATTAATAACTGGATATGACATAAACGAATAAATCAAATCTATATGTAATGAAATAAAGATAATTTTATCTTCCAAATGTTGAATTTTAGCCAAATATCGAATAGGAAATCAAACCGCAACCTCCATATCGTTCACGATTGCTTCCATGGCGGAACTCCAAAAGAAAAAAGTCCAGGATTTCTGTGGATTCATTCATCATCATCATCATCATCATCATCCGTCCCTTCTATCTTCTCCACTCTATTCTTCTCCGT